AGTCAACAGATTCCAGTAAGGAAACAGTAGTATTACACGCCATCACAGGCAGCAAGTCTGGCTCCTCTGAGACATAAATTCTGTGAGTGACAGGAGATGCCTTACTGTGCTATCTCTTCAACCCTTTAGGGGTGCCTTTGGGCTCATCCTGACACTAAAGTATTGTTGTGAATGCTTTCATGCACAAGATGCAAACAGGACCATAAAATGCTTGGCTATAAACCCACTCAAAATGCTTCTGAGGTTGAGAATGCATCTTCAGCAAAGAAACATATTTATTCTAATGGTGGGTCTCACTCCCAAGTAAACTGAAGTGATGCAGCTTTTGGGGTGTGAACCGACTCACTAAGGATTTCTCTAGTGTAATTTCCAGAAAAGATCAAGAAAAGCGTCGCGAGAGCAAGCCGATAACATTATAGTCAAGCAAGGCTGACTGCTATTTTTGGTCACATAGAGTTATTCAGAGGCATCTGTGTTAAGGATAGTTGCTACACCTCCCCCTTTGCCCATTGTTGGTCTTTCCAGAACATATTCAAATACCAGTAAATAATCATTTTCATGTTGCAGTAATATTTTTCCTGTCTACTGTTCCAAAAAAAGAATTTTTTAACCTCTGAAACAGTGAGAACAATCCTAATATGAAAACCACTGTATTTAAGGCAGTCATATAGATGAAAGCAAGTGCCATGACCTCATTTTTGACACAATGGTAAGGTCCAAATTCATGAACAGATCAATATCTAAGGCCTAAGCCATTTAATAGCAGCCTGCCTTCTTTAAGAGACTCGCTATTTTATTAATGACCCCAAGGCACTGCTGGAGAAAAGCTGTGAATCAAGAGTAGTACTCAGCCCATTGTTCAAACATTGCTTGATGAAATGAGGGACCATAAGGTAAAGAGAGGATGAAATATGAAGTAAGTGGGTATGCTGTGGTACTTCAGTGGAAAGCAAAAAGTTTGCAAGGCAGGCATGTGTCTCATCCCAGTCTTCCTCCATCCCCACCATGGCAGGCGTGGTAGGTACCAGTAATGGGAAGTGATAGCTCCCCAAAGCTCTCCTCTGTTCCTGATGTGATACCTCCCCCTCTAACGCTCTGGCACGGCATTATCGCCACAATCTGGCCTTCTATTTCAACTCTTCCACTGCCACTCATTATGAGTCACCCATGACACGCTGTTTGTAATGATTCTATAATTACAGTCAAATATTTGTCTGATCAACCAATATGAAACAATTATACTTCCATAACCCTTAATGCAGAAATCTTGCTTACTCAAATTAGCTTACATAGAAGACAAGGAAATCATCAGAAATCTGTCTTATAATAACTATGCCTAGGTTTTGTTTAGGGTTTTTTTTCTGCCAATATATGATTTATGTATTATTACTATACAGAGAGGAAGAGGTATTCTTTCAAACAAACCCCCAAGGTTTGAGGATGTTTTTCACACAGTGTCTCTTTGACAAGTGGAATGTCGTTAATTAAAACGAACACAACAATTTGAACGTGTAGGTGATGGGCAAGAAACGAGGGTTATTTAATATCATGTAGTGGGCAGAAACTCAAACCCCATGGGGCTGCTGAATAGTGCAATGGTGTAAACAAACATGAAAGTCTTATCAAAGTCATTCAGTGAAAACCATACTATCTAGAAAGAGAGAAGAAAAATATACAGAAAGGACTCAGAAAACAAATTCTGCACTAAGAGTCTGTACTTTCTCTTGGCTTCTTTAAATTAAGGGATGTAGTTATTAAAACCATATACAGTCTAATGCAGTACAGGGAAAGAAACAGCTTGATCAGCATAGACTTTGGCAGCATTGGGTCTGCTCTGAAAATCTTAGATTTAAGTACACTGATTAAACCCTTTGAATGTCCCCTCTTTTTCCCACTTTTATTATTATTATTGAATCAGATACAGGTTTCAGTTTATGTCTGGTCCCCAGTGACATCAGTTTCAGAGCACTAGTTGCTACAACAACTCAATGTAATTCTTGCCTGAAGACATCATTATTATTATTATTATTATTATTTTATATGGAGTTTTATTGCTTTCTACATTATCTTAAAACCCCCTGCACTTAAAGATGATGGACAAATGGTCAGGAAAACTAAGACCAAATGTTAGTAGAAACCTCTGTGGAAAACACATTTCTAGTATTGGATAGCCTCTAATTACTGCCCAGGGAAATGCACAATAAAGACCTCTTTTCAATCTTTCAGCTGTTCCGATTTGTTTCTGACTGTCCCTTTTGCCAGTGAAATTGTTCCTCAATAGAGTTCAGTTTTACCATCAAAAGTTTGATTTTAAAAGTGATATGGATTCAAGCTGAAGAAGAAAGGGTATTTAAATAGGAACATAGCCACTCTTTCATTCATGTCCTGATGCTTTCTTTTCCCCTTGTTGCCAAAATCCTGATACGAAAATGTTTTTCACCAGTTTTGTTTGGGAACATTTTTTGAATAGGACTGAAGACAGTTTCTCATTTGATGCCTACAATTTGGTGACAGCAATACAGTCAAAGCACAATTAACTGTAGATACAGTGATAAAGTTTAGACGTCTCATCATCGGATTTCTGCGTAGAGCCAGGTAGCTAGCCATGCAAATCCTGCAGCTTCTTCCTGCACTGAATTGCAGGCACAAAAATTTTGATTTGCCCTAAACATTTCTTTTTTTTTCTGCCTCCTTCATTCCTTCCTTGTCTTCCTCCTCTATTATTAAAAATATGAGGAAAAGCAACAAAAGAAAAAAAAAGGGGGAAGACTAAATGTAATTGTTTCTTTGGCATTTCTAGATACGGACCATGCTATGAAAAAGAAAATTGTCAACCTCACAAGAGCACCTATCATCATAAATCAGTTTTTAATTTTACTGGTGGATTACAGCAATCAGATAAACATTTGCTGCTTTCCTCCTCCATGTATTGCTCTTTGAATCGGCTTGGCCCAAGATTTAGTTGGGTGTGGGAGTCCTACCTACCTTACAACTCCCAGACAATATCTGATTGGTATGCAGTGGGGAAAATATAATAGCGTGCACAAAGCAGAATACACGCATAAAATACGAAGTGCAGGATCTCACAAGAGGGGGAAAAGTACAACATAATGAAAATGAATAATCTTTGGTTATTTTCTTCCTAGTCTGAAGTAGTTCTTGAATGTACAATCATTTTTTCTGGCTTCACTGCCCTTAAATATACACATACCATACTCCTAGTTCAATTTTTAAGCCACTATAGGTATTAGAGGACAATTTACATGTGATTTGCATTTTTTTTTCTATGCCTGTGGTTTTGGTAAGTCTTCCAAACCTAATGACTGTTCTTTTGGCCAGCAACATAAATGCTGTAATCACACAATTATTGTGCTGGGAACAGTTTAATTCAGCATTTTGTTCTCAACCACAGAACAATTACTCAACAATTTTGGTTAACCATACCAGCTCACTGCCTGGAGAGGAAGCGGAATATTCAGAAGATCTATTGTCTTACATAAAGGCAGTCAGTAGTTTCTTGTCTATTACAACTTTCCAGCATCTCTTTGCTCTTTGGGGTACTTCCACACACCCCCACTTAATGAAAATAAATTACCAGCAGCACACTGTATTAGCGTATTCATCTCTATCTGTTGAATGCTTTTAATTGTGCATTTGCATACTAAAGAGAAAGGTAGATGTGATGTGTCTGGGAGAGAGGGATATAATGGAGCACTGTAAAAAGCTCTGAAAATACTACAATGGTTATCCCCCTACTCTGTTCTAAGCATTAAACCATGGCCGTTCAGGATGCATTTTTCAGTTCTGTTCTTCAGCCATCCACATCTCTTCGGCGCTAAAAGGAATTTTCTGATCCACTGATTTATTCCCAGAACTCCTGAGATCTCTTAAAGCACCATTTGAGACAGAGGACAAAGTTTTAATGCAGAAGAGTGTCTCTGGGGCTGGATATTTGTTGCAAGTGAAAATCAGGGGGTTACTAATCCTCACTAATGCAAATCAGCAGTTCTGTTTTGTAACGGCGGGAACGGACCAACCGCATGGCTCTCACCACGTCACACCACACGACAGCGCTTGAGGCCACCGAGGGTGGTTGAAGGGACAGCGGGAAAAGCCCTTGAGTAGTCTTCACTCGCTCGCTGGCGTGAGTGAGGATACAGAGATTTATTTGAAATGCCCGGTATTTTTGCAAGAGAAACAATTCTGCAAATATTTACTGGAAGCGGTCACCGTTTTGTTTTGTTTCGTCTGTTTGTTTGAATTTAGGCACTGAGACTTAACACGCTCTGTGTGATAGACCTGATCCACAATAAAGCGGATGAAAGTTCAGACACTTCAATAAGGATAGACTTAAATTAGTTAACAAAGTGTCAGGACACTTACATATCTTCTGCTCCAAATTTCAGTTCTGGAAGCATTTTACCTAAGCAAATACAAGCGTTTTGATAATTCCTTTTCCACTTTGTTGTTTTGTCTTGCCAGTCACAGGGAATATTTTCGTTCAGAGCTGTGAATCTGAAAAGTACAACTCTGGCAATGCTGCTGGAACAAGTAAAATTAAACCAATTAAAGCTGACTCAAACTTAGTTTGATAGTAAGAGAGATCAAAATAGAAACCAGCAGTAAACATGATGAAACATAAAGTAATACTTGATTTCTTAAATGCCTTTAGTTTTTAAGTAGGATTCAGCTCAGGAAAGGGACTTTTTAATAATCATTATTTTCTTAAGAGCAAAATTTGACCTGCAGAAACTTAGTGCTGAGTCCTTGCTCTGCTGAAGTCAATACAAATTGACCCCAATGGTACTCGGCGAAATAACTTAATTAAAAAAAAAAATAACTTTAATTTAAAAAAAATCAAACACAAGGCATCTATGGAGCAGAACAAAGGCACAAATGTACATCATCAGCAGGATACTGAGCTATGACACTTCTTTTTCTGCTCCGTTTATGACATGAACAGTGTATCTCGTTTTGCTTGAAGCCCAGTTTCAGCAGATGTGGAGAAAGGCCTTGTCTCTCCTGAGATGTGGGAGACGCAGCGTAAAGTGCATTAAGGAAACAGAAGTCCCAGTCCAATTCTTTCCATTTCTTAGGCAACTGCTATGCTGTCACCAGGCTTCTGCACAATAAAAAAAAGGAAGGACCACCCCTTCTTCAACGGCTGTACGTTGGAAAGGAAACAGCTGCCTTTTACAATCGTGTCACTGCTGTTCAGGCACCGTGCCTGTTGGGTCAGCCTTCCAGGTGAGGCCTACGCTGCTCTGCCTTGCTTCTGGATCGCGACGGCCCTTAGGCAGGAGCTAAGTGTTTAGGTGTTTAGACCGGAGCAGTTTCAGGGCACGCAGAAAAGAGAAATACAGGAAACTCTCGGATCGCATCAGCAGGTGTCGTGCATGTTTAGATGTCCCCAGAGCTTCAGATCTCATATTTGAACTAAGGCTCTTAGCGGGTCTGTCTAAATGAAGGCCGGACAAGGCGCGCATCTGAACTTGGGAAGCGCTCTTGCATCCCTCAATTTAGATGTTCCCAAAGACTATCTAAGTCCTGTTATCAGAGAGTAAATCCTCTTTTTTTGACGTGACTCTAAGCCATCAAAGTAAGAATTCTACAGAAAATAAAATTTACTTTACGAAACAATGATGCAACTACGTTAGAGGTCCTAAAACTGTTCTCATATTCTTCGCAGGCAAGGAAATAAAAAGACAGCAGCACTGTACAACAACACATTGCTTGTGTATGTGCATGGACATCATTAATGAAATTTTTTAGTCAAATGGTTTTGAATAAAACAATCGTGGGGCTCCTTGGCACCTAAAGGAATGATTTAGGACATAAATTGCTGGCTTACCCAGTGGCCTTGAAACCTGTTATGTTTATACAAGCGCATTAGTAACACTTTAATATCCCATAACGAATCAGTAACTACAAATACGTCTAATATGTGGTAAGGCAAATGAAAATCTATCTGAAGTCTTTGGGTACAATACCTTTCTCTGAAAAGAAAAGTATTATTTTAGCAGTTGAAACCCAAAATATTTTGCCAGCGCGTTTGTTCATTAAAATGTGATCCATTCTGAACACATCAGGTCCCTTTAAGACTAAAAGTCAGAGCTGTGTGCTCTGAGCCTTTTCATCAAGATGACTCATTCATTCATGGGAAGCATGGATTGTATGGCTGGCTTATGGCAGCACTCTAAATTAGTACTCACACAATGGAGAGCTTATACAATTGCAGTAGTCCATATCCAGTAAAACTGCCTTAGTGCCTTGAATAATGGGCCTTGCTAAGTCTCTAACAGTTCTGTAAGAACCTCTAAACAGCTGCACACAACACATGACCTGTGCCATCTTTACAATGCCTGCTAACCATGAAAGCAAGCTTTGGGAACTATTTCCTCTGCACCCTCACCATTGGACAGCATCAATCCCTTTGCTCTTAGAGAACAAGGGGATTTTTTTTTTCCCCTCTCTTTCTTTCTTTTTTTTTTTTCCCCTTTCCAATCAGCTCTCCACTGATCATCCTTCACACTTTAGCCTCTGCCCCAGAATACTCCGGACAATAGTACTGATTCCATCTGTGCTCTCCATTAAAACCCTCGTAATCCTCCTCCGAACAGCTGGACGCTCAGACTCCACACACAGACACTCCTTCTGTGGAACGGTTTGGCTACAATTACGCTGAGGCTGTGCTTATTTCAAGTTCCTGCCTGCAAATGCCTTTCGTGGGGTCCCCCGGGGCTGCGCGGCAGAATGTCCTGACGCAACAAATTTAACAATACCTCGAGACAGGCCCAGGCTCAGGCAATAATGCGCTGCTTAGTCACCTCAGTGCCAAGCAGCACTTAGAAGATATTTTTTAGACAAATGACAATATTAATGACAAGCTCCAAACTCCCACCGTGTCATTAAGTAATCATGAAGAAGCATCTTCAGTTAATCAAACGGTTTCAAAACCTTTAACGCCAGAAGCGCTGCAATGCCTACGTTTGGCTTAGAAGCCTTTTTCAAGAGCTGCAGTGGTTTGGCTCTCTCCCGGCACAGCATATATTCGATCTGACAATGTCTGTCATGGCTTGAAATGACCGAGTGTTAGGGAAGGACCAGCAGAACACACCAACAGGCTGGTCTACCTGTGTACCTTGCTTTTCCCAGGGACTTAACTTTCCTTGGACCCAACCAATGGGCTAATCCTCCACTTCACCTCACTTCAGACAAGAAATATGTTAACATGTAATCAGAAAAAGTCAAGAATAACTCTAATGATTTTTACAAGAAGTCTACGCTGATATTCTAATTAAAGTCAATAGTGAGTCCTGCAGATCTACGTGCATCTAACGTATTAAGATCTAAGTGCATGTTTGCCTGCGCCTGTACACACACACGCATCATCTGTGCCCATACAGAGCTATAAACACACACATTCTTCCAATAGACGTGTGCGCACACGTCTCACACACCCCACAAGCAAATGAGGAAAAGCTATCTATAAATCTCATTTCTGGTATTTATTTTAAAATGTAAATGTGTGTGTATGTGCACATGTACAGATATTTACACATATATATATATACACACAGTACCCACGAAACAGATGCCCCACACACAGGAGTCCACACGCATATCCAAGCATGCACCACTCCAGAGATGGCGGTACCCCAGGGAAAACCTCAAACTGAGCGCAAACGCTATTTATCACACACCTCTGACAGCTTCACTTGCACAGCATACACTGCTGTCTGAACAGGGACACAACTGTACAACCCCAGATTCCTTGGAAGCGTATTTTCTCTGCAGCCAACACGCAGACGTGCCCTTCCCTTCCCAGCTCCTCCACAGTACGACGGAGCTGCCGTATTACCTGTACTCCGTCCTAGGTCAGAGGGACTTCTGAGCTTCTCTGTTTTGTAACCCACGAGGGCCAAGATGAAAGTTTCTTTATTAACAAAAGTGGAGGACTCCCAGTTTCCTAATGTGGCCCACAGCACCTGCGTGTAGTTTTGAAACAACTCAAAACATCGTAACGTTATTTACAGAAAAGCCATTTCGAATGAATCTGCTAAGTTTATCTGACCTATGGTATGCAGCGGTTTTACAGGCAGGGGGACTCAAAACATGTGTAACAGTAAATTCTTCTAAAATGCTCCAAAATACAGTTAAGCTGGTTTGTTTTTTATGTATATATACTGCTTTCATGTCATACGTTACAGTATAAGGCAACATCAAGGTTTTCTTGCTCTTGGTGGAAGATACCAAGCACTGTGCCCAAGTGGGAAGTAGCCCGCCTCTCCTCAACAAGTCAGTAAACCCTCGCTGCTGCATCAGTCCCAGGTGTATTTACCGCTCTCCCACATGCATTATGTACAAGGGCCGTCTGCAGTTAAGACCAAGATTGGCTTTCTGTTAGAAACCCAAGAATTCAACGTACAAGGTTCAAAGCCCAGATAAATACCTAGATTAGATACTTTTTGACTAGTTCTCCCCTCTCTCATGAGAGGTCATTTATCCTCCAAAGTCTTTACAGGTGGTCGGCTGTCAAAGAACATACTTTCAGCTGAATTACAGGTGATTCGGCCAAGATCTTTTTGTGATATGGGATTTAGAAATAGGTGCTAATCGTATTTTGAAAATTCTTCCAGGGCTCCTTCGTGCCACGCCGCCGTGTCCTAGAAACTTCAAATGAGGTTTATCCAAAAGATCTTGGCAAGATCTAGCATAAGGAAAGGCATGTTTGGGAAGTAACTCTCAGGTGCATTAAGAACGTCAGAATAGTCCGTCAGGCTCCAGCAGATTTTAAGGAGTGCCAAGTATCTGAGGAGAAACTAAGCTTTTTTTTTTTTTTTTAATTAAAAGAAAAAAGTGTTCTCTCATGGTTTTCCTCAAGGTAACTGCCTTAAAAATATAAACAAGTCCCTAAGGTTTTTGTCACAGCATTTTTGCTGGATGTCTTTTCTTAATTGCTATTAAGTTGGGTTTTTTCCTCCTCCGTCCAGATAAAATAACCTGCAACCTTCCTCTTTTCCTCACACTCACTGGTCAGATGGACCCTGATACTAACATTACCTCCTCAAATTCCCGTTTAGACATTTACTCTCACCTCCAATGGATTCAATAACTAGCTGTGAAGCTTCGAGTTATGGGAAGGGTGTGGAAATACAAATTTCAATTTAGGCACACAGAAGGAGCAGTTAGGAAGGAAAAGCCAGTATGATTTGCTTGAAATACCATGCCTAATTTTGGAAAACTAACTTGAAACTCAATCTAACTGCCCGCACAGACTCTCAGGTTTCCCACCCTGCCACCCCTCACCCCCCCCAATTTCCCATTGTTCTTAAAACCAGGATTCCCAGCCACAGCCCTACACTACAGGAGCTTCCCAGCTCAGGTTTTCAGCCATGCCACACTTCAGTTCCTTGTATAAAATAGTAATGTTTTGTTGAGAGGTGGTACAGCTATTTTGGCAATGTTTTACGTCCATCAGGAAAGCAGAAGACCACCGAGGTAGAGACTGAGAGGAGTCTGAGCAGTGCTACCAGGGTTTCTTGATCCGGGTCTAAACCACAAAGTTCCAGCCTCAGTCCAAATCTCCACAATGAGTTCAGATCTGGCCTTTAGGATCAGCCTTTCCTAAAAACAGGCAAAGGTCAACTCCCAAGGAAGTTGTACCACAGTTCGTAGGGTTTGGTTCAAACCCAGCACAAACTGAAGCTGTGACCTAGTGAACCTCTGCTAGATTTACTCTACATGCTCTACTCATATAATGCAGCCCCTGACTGCATGAGCTGCGTGCCAGGAGTCGAGTTTGGAGTTCTTCCTCTCCCACCTTCTGTGTATGACTTGTCTTCACAGCTCCAAATCAATTCCGAACAGGATAAACACTCCCCTCCAAAGCCCTGACCTTTGTATAATGTAGACTGGACGTTACACTATAAAGTCACAATCACAGTATTTTTACTAAATAATACCCTGATTTTTAGCCCAAGAAATTCCAGAAGTGAAAAAGTCTGTGAAGTCGTCTATTA